GAACTAATAAACGGATTTTTATTGATCATTTCCAATATTGGAGGAAATCCCAGAACTGAAGATCTCACAGCGACAATTTACACGTCATCGGTCAGCTGCGTTCTCTAAGCCGGCCCACCGATGGCGTCCGTCTCAGATCTGGCGCAGTTTGCGTTTACCCGTTGCCGTGGTTTTAGCAGCGTGATCGCCATGACACCCATTGCGGACGCCGTTAGGTCACATGACACAGAAGACATTTAAACCTCAGACTCTCCTCACCTGTCCGAATATGTAGAGCAGCCCCACCGTCCCCCCGACCTTCCCCCCGAGGACGGTGGAGATCATGGAATATACACCGCCACTGCCTATGCTGCACCGCTCACACACGCCGATCCCCGACAACACCGTCACCAGCGCCACCAGGATGACGAAAGACACCAGGAAGATGCCGAGAAGGATGCCGGTGTTCCCCTGCAAGGAAAGGTCGCCATTAGAGGGTCCGCTCTGTATTCATCACATAAATAATGACAATGTCCTCCAATGAGACCTCCCGAGCGCCGCCACAGCGCCACCTACAGGCCGACATCGGGTATTACAGCACCGGGCCCCTTCATCGGGTATTACAGCACCGGGCCCCTTCATCGGGTATTGCAGTACCGGGCCCCTTCATCGGGTATTGCAGTACCGGGCCCCTTCATCGGGTATTGCAGTACCGGGCCCCTTCATCGGGTATTGCAGTACCGGGCCCCTTCATCGGGTATTGCAGTACCGGGCCCCTTCATCGGGTGTATTGGATCGGTCTAGGCCAGGGGTAGGCAGCCATTGCAAGCCACAGGCATAACTCCCAGAGGCAGAAGCATGATGGGATTTGTAGTTTCAGCACAGCTGGAGAGCCAAGGATGCTCACCCCGGGTCTAGAAGCAGGTCGGACCTCCTGATGTCACACAGTCAGTGACAATACTCGGGGCCCCCGGAAGACTGAGGGCATCTTGTGGTGAAGAAGTAGTACTGCGGGGGGGGACAGCACTGGAATTAATTCTGAGAGGGACAAAGTGCGGTGC